ACCTTAATTTTGTTTTTAAGGTTTTTTTTTTTTTAAGTTTTCCTTATGTAGGTCTTTGACTTCTTTGCTTAGATTTATTCTAGTTATCTTATTTCTTTTGTGACTATTGTAAATGAAACTGCTTTCTTCAAATCTACCCAAGTCTGTTTACTGTCGATGTATAAAAATGCTAAGGATTTTTGTATTTGTATGTTGGTTTTGTAGCCTAATACTTTACTGTGTTTATCTTATCATTTCTAGGAGTTTTTTTCAAGGATCCTTTTGGGTTTTATATGAATATAATCATGTCATCTGCAAATAGAGGTAATTTCACTTCTTCTTTCCTTATTTGAATGCCTTTTATTTTAGTCTCTTTTCTGATTACATTGGCTAGGACTTAAAGTACTATGTTGAAAAGAGGTGAAGAAAGTGGTCAGCCTTGTCTTGTTTCAGTTTTTATGGAAAAGCTTTCAGTTTTCCCCCATTCAGTATGAAGTTAGCTATGGGTTTTCCATATATGGCTTTTATTATATTGAGAAAAGTCTCTTTTATGCCAATTTTACTGAGAGTCTTAATCATGAAGGGATGTTGTATTTTATCAAATGCTTTTTCTGTACCAATTGATATGATCATATGGTTTTTATCTTTCCTTCTAATAATATGATGTATTACATTTATGGTTTTGTGTAGGTTGAACCACCCTTGCATCCCTGGAATAAAGCCAAACTAGTCATGGTATGTAATCCTTTTAATGTGTTGTTGGATATGATTTGTTAGTATCTTGTTAAGAATTTTTATATCTGTTTTCAGCACGAATATTGGTCTATAGTTTTCTTTTTTGGTGATGTCCTTGTATGTTTTAGAATGAGGGCAATGGAGGCTTCATAGACTGAATATGGGAGGGCTCTTTCCTTTAGAATATTTAGAAATAGTTTGAGTAGAATGGGAGGAGTCAGCTCTTTGATCTCTTGACAACTGTTTCCAATGATGTATAAGTCACATGATGTTTTCAAATTTGTATGTATATATATTGGGCCATCAGAAAAGTCCTGATGCATTTTTGCATAGAAAAACAGAAAAATGTATCATGAGTTTTCCAACAACCTTGTAAAATGTTGGTGCCTTCCTTTGATGTCCAATAAACCAGAGTTTAAATTCTAGTCCTTTCATTTTCTCACTGGTGACTTTGGGTAAATTGTGTTCCACTTAATAAACGTTTTCTTTTTTTAATCTGGAAAAGTAGGCAAACAAATATTTACCTTTCGGTAAACATATAAATGCACATATAGACGTAAATATATACATTTAGGCATGCATGCCTACAAGTAAGTAGACAAAGATATAATCCTATATGCTTAAGGAATTCAAGTCTTTTATATAATCTCTGTACAAATTGACATATTTCCTTGGAAATCTTTGGCTTGTTTTTATAACCTAAATATCATCAGAGATTATGTAAGCTGCTAAGAGCAGGGACTAGCAGGTGGTTTGGTGGTTAAAGCACTGGACTCCCATATGACTTACCTTGGTTCAAGTCCCGGACTTGATGGCTTATTTTCTTATTTTCATGACCACAGAAGAACTCCTATTGCCAGTGGATAGACATTACAGTATATTGTTGGACAGGGTTTTCTGAAAAGGTTGACTCTAGTAAACTTCTCTTAATAGATTCTTATGTAGACGTAACTAGTGACCAAATGAGTTATCTAAACAGATCTGTGGAATAAGAACTAGCCGGGCAGGTAGTGTCACCTTGTCCAACCTCCTCATTTACACAGGAGGAAACTGAGAACCAGAGAACCAGAAAAATGATATTTGAAGTTTCACACTTTGAAACTAATTTCAGAAATCTTCTAAAATTAATTCTAGAGAATTCATTTCTTGTTAGGGTTTGCGTAATCTTAACCAAAAAACATTTTGAAGATAATACATGCCACCCAACTTGGGGACAAATGGAATGAGTTTCTCAAGATGAACTATCTCTTGCCTAAGTAATATTTACCTGGAAGCAGGAAAATGTAGAAGTAAAAAATTATTTTGTTATGTGGTGGTAGATTAATTAGTATAATTTTGTGAGAGTAGAAACAGTATGTAATTCAACTTTGAACCTTGGCTAATAGGAGGCACCTAATAAGTTTATAGTGTGAAGCACCTATAATGCTATCAGTCCCCAATTAATGTGTGATACACTTACCACATTTTGAGATAATTCATGGCAGCCCATTGAACATTATGTAATGATTTTTGTAGTATCCATGCTTATGAATTCTCTAACATAGAAGCACAGAAGGAAAACAATGAATAAGCTAAGGAATGAACTCTCATTTATTGACCCTATTCCATAAAGTACTATTATATACCCTATAAGAAACCGAAATAACACAAGCAAAGGAAACACACTTGGGACACAAGTTTTAGAGAGTCCATTTGGAGGCGGTTGGAGGCATGTAGGTAAGGTGTTGGATCCCACACGACTGTCTGTGCAGATGGAGTTTGGATCCAGTGGCTTTAACATGCCAGGTGTGTGTGCTTATGTGCCCAAAATCCTGAAAGGAAGGAAAAAGGGAAGAGAAAGGATTGCAGCATGATCATTCCCCATGAGGGAGGGTGTGCTTTCTCACTTTCTCTGTCTCTCTTCTCCCTATGCCAAATGCTCAGTTCCTCTGGCAAAACAATTTTTAAAAAGTCCATATGTAATGTGTTAGTGCTTAAGAGTTTTACTCTTGGCAAAACACAAAGGATAAAGGGTTTCTTTTACAAATGTAATAACTTCCTAAAAATTAATTAGTTACCAATAACATTTTAAAAAATTAATGTAAACAAATACAAAATTTATGGATCTGAAGCTTTTGGATTTCAGTATGATTCAAATGAATGGAAAAGATACAGTTATAAATATTTTTGAATCTTTGTTTGGAGCCTTAACTAGTTTTGTTAACAGCCTCCTTGAAGGATCAGATATGTATCTGAATTTGCATATCTTTGATCCAGCATTTACTCATTGCTTCCACACACTTCAGTGAGGGCTTACAATGTGCTTCTGGTGATGCTGTAAAGGACTTTCATCAGCTATTTATATAACTCTTTGATATATTTTCTGTATTTTCAGTTACATACTATCTTTTCCTTTTCTTCACTGCAGTCTTAGGAACTTTACACTAAAGATTGTGTATTTCAAATCAGGGTTGCTGTTACTATGAGTCTGTCTAAGAATTCTAGATTCTTTTTATGTTTTCTAGATGTGCTAAAAAAATACTTGGAAAAAAGCTCATTTCAAAATTGAATTTCAAAAATCTTGGTGTTCCCAAAAGCTCTTAATGCAAGAATACAGGCCTGACTTACTTGATAATGGCAAAACCCTAAAAATCATGACATTTGCTCCTTTGAAGAAATGCAAGTAGGAATAGAAATTGTCCAAGAAGATGGAAAACCTTTTATAATATAAAGAATGAAGATACACTTCTGATACATTGGCTTTACTTTTATAAATAAATCTATGATTTTGAACATTATTTATTTTTTGATGATAGAGTGTATACATGCACATGAGAGAGAGAGCTACCTCAGCAGAGTTTTGTAACACTAAAATCCCTTTTCCCCTATCTCCAACTCCTCAGGATCCTGGGCACCCAGGCTTGAACCTGGTGTGTTTTCAGACCAAAGAGGAGACAGGAACCTGCCATTGGCCTTGTGGCTTCCAGCCTTGCAGAACACTGAGTTATTATACCACAGTGGCTGGGTCCATAATTGTGAACAACGTAAGCCTAGGGAGCACTAAGCCCCACATATGTAAGCTCCCTGTGGGTAATATGCTGAATTTTGAATTAACTTACATGAAGTACATTTTTAGGCAAAATTTAGTAGATAGTTTGTGTTGTTGGCAGAAGATAGGAAATCTGAATCAAAGGAGAGAATAAACCTAGAGAAAAGAATAGAAATAATTTCTTAAAATTATTGAACTATAATAATATTACATTGGGGCCAGCAGTTGGTGTAATGGCTACGTCACTGGATTCCCATATAGTCAACCACAGTTCGAGTCCCAGATCCGGTGGCTTAAAATTCATGCCAGGTGCATGTGCATGCATGCCCAAGATCTCAAGAAGAGAATGAAGGAGAAGGGATTGTCGTGTAGCCATCCCCCTTGGGGGGATGATTTCTCGCTTTCTGTCTGTCTCTCTCTTTCTAGTGAACGCACATGCCCTATAACAAAATCCTCTCCAAAAAGAATAGTATTATATTTTATATCATTACCTATTATCACAGATATGCACATACACATTCATATGTATAGTTGAATCAATAGTAACAATATTTACCCTTACTATGTAATGAGATGCTTTCCAGTATTTTCTGTCCTATTATATGACATTTAAAAAAATGCCATATTCATTAAAAGGAATTCAATGAAAGTTACTATTCATAAACTGCAGTTCAAAAAGCATTGAACTTGCAGGTCAGATCTATCTTGGAAGCTGTTAGTAGAAGCAGGGTTAGAAAGGAATGGGGGGCAGGTAGTTAGTCTGGAAAGAGCAAGGTGAATAGGATGAAGTAAGTGAGCCAACTTAAGAAGATTACTTATTTTAACACACGCTTTTAAGCATACCTTTACTTACACAACCCATGAGTGAGTGCTTCCTTAAATTTTGTACCTGGACATCTCACTCCATGCCCTAGTCTCAGCCCTGAGGACCGGAGGATTGATTACCTTAGTGGAGATACACACATTTCTTACAGCTGAAGAACAGCATCAGAGCAAGGAGGGTAGAGTCCAGGGAAAATCAGAGAGGAAAAGGGAACAAAGAATTTAGGGCAAATAACAAGTTGGAAGGTCACCCACATTGGAGCAGAATATTCCAAAATTCAGATCTGAGTTAGCAAAGTTCATGCAAAGAGGAAAGCTACAAAAATGAGAAGCTGGACCTTGCCGTGTCAGTGCTCATCTGCTTTGGATGAAGCACTTCTGTTCCAAGGACAGTACTTTGGTTAGAGATTAAGTTTTACTGCAATAGCACAAAACCTTAACAATTCATTTGGTTTAAAAAACCAATGTCATGGAGCATCAAATCTAAAAGTGGGTAGTGCAAGGCTGGCAGAGCTGCTTTAGGGACCCACTAAGGACTTGGGTTTCTTGCTCCACTGTCCCTGGCATAGACATTCATCCCCATAGATACAAGTTGGCTGCCATCTGTAGCCTCACATTCCAATTAGTAAAAAATCTAGATCCTTTTAGTAAAAGGGAAAAATAACAAAGAAAAAGGGGGAAACAATACTTTCTTAGAAACCCTCAGCCAAATTCATCTTGGATCTTATTGGCCCAAACCATGACACATAGCCACACCTAGTTACAAATAATGGTGAGGCTTTATTTTATTTTATTCTTAAAAATCTGCGTACATTGCTATCTACCTATCTCCCAGCAAATGATGGAATTAAGTTAGCAATCAAGAAAGGAAAAATGGATAGGTAACTAATATTGTTTGCTACATTCAAGAGGGACCAATTTCCAATTCATCTTGAATATGTAATTGAGAGTACCTATCATTGATAAAGTAGGTGTTTTCATTCCCATTTTACATCAGAAGATACTGAGGTTCAGAGATTAAGCAAAGACAGGGCTAAGATTGAAACACTAGTGTATTTTTTTTTAGAGGTTTTTGCTATAGGGTGTGTGAGTTTGCCAGAAAGACAGAGAGAGACAGAGAGACAGAAAGAGAGAAATCACCC